CTCCCACACACTGAAGGCACCGACCCCACTCACATCTGCTGACAGTGCAGAGCACGCCAGCAGCAGGTACGAATGCGGCCTGAAGCATCAGTGGGTGCGAGCAGCAGCTGCTGCCCTGATCGCCCCTCAGGAGCAGGGGGAGGTGGAGAAGCTGTGAGGGGCGATTGGGGCCCAGAGTCGCCTCTCACACCCGCTGACAGCGCCAAGCGATCAGGGCTGTTGCCGGGCACCAGCAGCGGGTGTGAGTGGCAGCTCTGGCGCCAGCAGCAGGTGTGAGCGGGGCTGGCATTGGCAGCAGGTGCGAGTGCCGGGGGAGGGGGGACCGCGGTGTGCTGGAGCAAAGAACTTTCAGTAACCACCAGAGGCTCGCCCCATGACAGTGACTGAGGCCCTGCCTTGGGCTGGCGCCCCTGCTCAACTGCTCCACCCACCATCCCACCACGGCCAACGGCCACCATGTTCCATGCACTCCCCCTGGTGGTCAGCACACATAGCAACCGGTTATTCAGTTGTTAGCTTGTCCCGCCATTCAGTCTATTTGTATATTAGCCTTTTATTAGATAGGATATGTATATATGCATATCGATGGTATTCACAGCATATAGATGGTATTTTTAATGCCTTTGGCCTCAATATAATCATGGAGAAAGGGAATTTAAATGGAGAAGAAGCCTGAGTCCTAATCTAATCCATTTCCCTCACTGTTTCTAGATTGATCTTTCTAAAGTGCTAATCTATTTATGTAACTCTCCCACTTTCAACTTTTTAACACCCTCCTATTATCCACAGGATAAAATCTCAAATAGCTATTATGGCATATAAGGTTCATTACAATTTGGTACCTGCTAATTTGCCCAAACAATCTTACTCATGGGGCACCTTCCATTGGCATTATAGATAACTACAGGAATTTCTCAAATATCCTACACTCTCAACTTCATCCTTTTCATACACTGTTTTACCTCCCTTCAAAGTCCTTTCCCATCTGAAACTCATGGTCTACCTGGCCAATTTCTTTTTGGCATTCAAAAGGCAATAACCTGCCCGACCACCGTGGCTCAGTGGTTGAGCATCAACCTATGAACCAGGAGGTCATGGTTTGATTCCCAGTCAGGGCACATGCCCGGGTTGTGGGCTCCATCCCCAGTAGGGGGCGTGCAGGAAGCAGCCAATCAATGATTCTCTCTCATCATTGATGTTTCTATCTCTTTCTCCCTTTCCCTTCCTCTCTGAAATCAATAAAAATATATATTAAAACAAAAAACAACCCTAGCTGGTTTGGCTCAGTGGATAGAGCATGGCCCTCAGAGCATCCATTCCAGTCAAAGGCATGTACTTCGGTTGCAGGCTCCATCCTGGTCCTGGTCAGGGCCAATGCGGGAGGCAACCAATTGATGTGTTTCTCTCACTTTGGCGTTTCTCCCTCTCTGTCTCTTCCCATCCTTTCCACTCTCTCTAAAAATAAATGGAATAATATCCTCGGGTGAGGATGAATAAAATGATGTTTTATGAAGACAGGGATTTTTTTTGTTGTGGTTCAGTGCTATATCCCTATAGCCTGGAGCAGTGCCTGGCTCCTAGTAGGTGTTTAATAAATTGTTTGGACTGAATAAATGTGTAGAGCATGAGTTTTTGTAGTATTATTGTATTGATTAGATATAATTTCCATAAAAAATGTGGCATAAAAATGGTATGCTTCCTAGTCTTGTTCTTGTCTTTTTTTTTTTAATATATTTTATTGATTTTTTACAGAGAGGAAGGGAGAGAGATAGAGAGTTAGAAACATTGATGAGAGAGAAACATCAATCAGCCACCTCCTGCACATCTCCTACTGGGGATGTGCCCGCAACCCAGGTACATGCCCTTGACCGGAATTGAACCTGGGACCATTCAGTCCGCAGGCCGACGCTCTATCCACTGAGCCAAACCAGTTTCGGCATTGTTCTTGTCTTTTAATATTTTTATTTTGATTGATTTCAGAGAGGAAGGGGGAGAGAGAGAAACATTAATGATGAGAGAGGATCATTGGTCGGCTGCCTCCTGAACGCCCCACACTGGGGATCAAGCTGCAACCCGGGCATGTGCCCTTGACCGGAATCGAACCCGGGACCCTTCAGTCCTCAGGCCGATGCTCTATCCACTGAGCCAAACCAGCTAGGACTAGTCTTGTTCTTTATATATATTAAACTTCATGTGGTTTAATTGCTTGATGCTTGCCTCTTTAAAACAAAAATATGAGGTTTCTTCTATACTTAAAACTTTCCATGGCTCCCCTCACTCCCTCCCCCAATACCTCCAGAGTAAAACCCAAACATGAAGTCATGACCTGTTTGGCATCACTTCTGGCTACTTCCCTCTTCCCACATCAGTCGTGTCTTTCATGACTTCATTCACTTTGTCATCTTCCTCAAGATGACCAGCAATGAGGGAAAAGATTTTTTAAAGGATTAAGTGCTAACCTTAGTAATGAAGCAAAGATGTCACTGGTGCTGTTAGATGAGGGAATATTACAGTGAATACTCATTACCACCCACTCCTTAAGATGCATGTCTGTCAAATGGGGTTGAAGCCCCCTTTCCTCCAACCATCTGGATTTTGCTCCCCCAGAAATGTTTTTACGGATTTTCAGAGAAGGAGGACGGGTGAGGGATAGAGAGCTAGAAACATGGATGGGCTGCCTCCTGCACGCACCCCACTGGGGATCGAGCCGCAATCCGCGCATGTACGTGACTGGAAATCAAACCATGACTTCTTCGTGAGTCAACGCTCAACCACTGAGCCACCCGGCCGGGCCTGCCTTTTCGTTTGACTACGTATGTGTGCCCCAGAGCCAACACAGGCACTGCCCCGAGGCTGCCCCCAGCTCTCACCCAGTGCTTCCGGAGGACAAGTGACAGCTCCACACGCAGGAACGTGTCAACAGGGTGGAAACTGATGGGAAGACAGGGTCCCAGCCCTGCTCCCGAGGAGTCCGGAACCGGGGGGCAGCCAGAGCTCCGAGTGTAGTGATAGTCACGTGACGAGCACGCTGACCCACTCCGATACCATCCCTAGCAGCCAGCACGGTGCCTGCGCCACAGCACCCACCCCTGCCAGCCACGGTCAAGGTACCTGCAACACAGTGCGCCTGACGAGCGCCAGGAGGAGTGGGCGATGCCAGGCCCGGGCACCAGGCTCCCGTGCGCCCTGCGGGGATGGTGCGCCAACCCACCCGGCATGTCAGCGAGAGACGGAATGTACACTCCGCCCAGAAAATGCCCTCCCTCCTCCCCCCCTCCCCGTCTTTGTGGGGAAGGAGTGGAGGGCCAGGAGGAGCCAGCGAGGGGCCTGGAGGGTCTTCTATCCTGAAATCCTGCCTGCGCCCCCCTGCCCTGCTCAGCGCCCAGCGCCCAGGCTTAGCTGTCACAGCTGCGAACCGAGTCCTCTCACCTTCTCCTTTGAGCTTTGTGCTCCTTTCCAAGAATTCAACCGCTCTCCTCCCTGTTTTCAAAAAGAACATTTAAAAAAAGAGGCAAAGCTCTGAAATAAGAAGGTAGAGGGCTTTGTTTTTATACCGTTTGATATCCTTTGCTTTAAAAATATAACTTCCTTGCAGGCATTAAGCATTCTTTTCCTGGGCCCCGCGGATTAACCTCCCGCTGCGGGGAGGGATCATTCTGTATTTCCTTGGTTCCTCTCAGGAGCCGAGCACAATGCCAGCACTTGGTAACAAGCACCCATCTATTTGATGGAACAGGTAACGAGTCTATCACACTCGATATATTTACGATAAAATACAAATCAAAACTAAGATTACATGTATTCATTTCTCTCATTTTCATAGAGTACCCTGTTCAGATGATAAACTGCAACCTATAAAATGCAAAAGGTTAAATAAATATGAAATATTTAAAAATGAAGGAGACTGACAAAATTTTGACAATTCACCAACACAAGGGAGTTTTTATCATTCATTTAGAAATGCAACTTGATATTATATTCAGTCTATTTCCAAATAGGTATCTCTCTACCTGACGGTCAATACTCAAATGTCACCAAATTAGTAGGTTTTTTTTTATTAAAATTTTTCTCAATTTTCATACATGAAGAAATATAACACACTGGACACGTAATAGAGTATAGTCTCAAGCTTATGTGGAATTATGACTGCTTTCAACAATTACTAAAATATTTTCAAAGAAAATCTACATATTTTTGTATGTCTGTCCCTGTAATAGACTAAGGAGAGTCATGAATCTGCAGTCTCAAAACAGCACAGAACTACTAATGCAATGCCATAAACCAGCGTATTTCCCTTAAAACTCACTCACTAGTTCTAAGCACAACAAAACATGCAAAGCTCTCAGGGTTCACAAAGTCTTCTTTGGTTTTTTCTTCTCTGCTTCCTCCTTCTCCTTTTCTATTGCAATGACTTGTAATTCAATTTCCTTGGCACTAAACATCTGAAAAGAAAAATTTTATTTAAATAAATTGCAATTATATCAAACATTTTTAAATATTTACAATACGAAAAAAACCTATTATCTATATATATAAAAGCCCAACGACCGGAATGGCAGAACAACCAGAACGACCTGTGGCTATGACATGCACTGCGGCAGCCAACCAGCCTGACCCGGCCCCAATCAGCGCCCCCCTCGCTGGCCCCGCCCCTGATCGGGGTGTTGGGGGCTGATTGGGGGTGAGGCCAGCTGGCCAACCACCAGCAGCCCCTCCCCCTACCGGCCCTACCCGATTGGCTCACCTACCCCAATCAGGAGCAGGGCCAGCCAAACCTCACCTGTGCACAAATTTGTGCACTGGGCCTCTAGTATCTTATAAATTTCTATTATCTATTTATAACTTCAAATACATAATGAAGTGTTTCAAAGAATCAACAGCAACATACTTGTAATGATTATGAACAAAAAACAGAACTCTATGACATTTCCATTATCGTGCTAATAAAGAAAGTAGGGTAAAATATGTTATTGCATTACATATCCTACATCAAAATGTAACTCTGAAACCATTTTAATGCAAGACTCACTCTGTTCATGAGCAAATAACTCATTACTGAACTCCACCCCCTCCTAACTGTGATTCTCTGAAAGGGTTTCACTATTTTAACAGCTCATGGGCTAGCCATGAGAGATAAGGAAAAGATGATTCACACTGCTTATTTACAACTCCCTCACTGAATTCAAAGCAAAAATAATGTTTCTCTTATTTAAATCATTTTTATTTTATTTAAAGTCAAAAGATGGGAGCAAATTGCTCAAGGCCATACTGTTAAACAAACTGATTCGCTAAAACTTAAATCCAGGTCTGTCCAACTCCACAGCATGTGTCCTATTTGCCACGCAGCCTATCCTGAGAAACCATGTGGAAGGACACATACCAGCCTACCACTCAGAGGTAGAAACATATGTGCAGGTGTGTGTGTGTGTGTGTGTGCGCGCATACGTATGTGCGGGGCTGGAGAGGTGCCTCTGGTCTCTGGTTCTGTGTCCCTGCGTTGTTGGCACGTATGTCCTAGGCCAGTGATGGCGAACCTATGACACGCGTGTCAGAGGTGACACGCGAATTCATTTTTTTGGTTGATTTTTCTTTGTTGAATGGCATTAAAATAAATATCAAAAATGTAAGTCTTTGTTTTACTATGGTTGCAAATATCAAAAAATTTCTATATGTGACACGGCACCAGAGTTAAGTTAGGGTTTTTCAAAATGCTGACACGCCGAGCTCAAAAGGTTCGCCATCACTGTCCTAGGCCCTTGGCAGCAGGGCTGATAACCCAGCCCAGTTCCCATCTCCGCATTCTATGCTCAGTAGCTTGATTACTATGTGTGGCCGTGTAGGGGAAGACCTATCCCCATCCCTCTCTCTCTAATTCACTGAAACTCTGCTGCTGGCCTATCCTCATGTCCCCACCCATTGGTTAACTAATAAAATATGGGGATGTGGTATCATTACAACAGCAAGAATGCCCCCCTCCAGTATTTCTTAGCAATTACGCTAAGAAATACTGGAGTAAACTGTAAATTGCAGTATTACTAAATACAGAATACACACTCCAAAACAAAAACAAAAACCCCACTCTCCACTCAGCGCTGATTTCAATACTACTTCCCCTTGAAATATCTTCCCTACAACAAAAGGAAAGGTACACGTATAAGAAAGTTTAGCATACTTTTCATGTTTCCCATGCTTCTGTATACTCTCAGCTAAAGAGAGCAAACCACATTGTAAAGTTCTACCTAATAAACAACAGAGAACCATGTTTTGAATGCTCTTTAGCCAACGAATCCTCTACCATAAACTTCAGAGCCATTCATCATATTTTTCTGAAGAATTTATTTTGTGGTCCAGCAGTTGTAACTCATAATGGCTGACAAAAGGTATACAGATAACAGGTTAGACTCACCACCAAGAAACAGGCAAAGGGCATCACACAAGGTGTTAACATTTAAGTCAACAGTGGCTCAAGGCACCTTTAAGTGGAAAGTGTAGAAAATAGGTAAAAACCAGTAGGCAATCAAAAATAGGTAGAGGGTTTGTTGACATAATGAAGATCACATTATGTTAGAAGCCTGGAGGGCCAGCAATGATGTAAATGGCAGCTGAATGACACTAGCTGGAAGCATAGCTTGCTGTCGGAAGATCTAAAAATCTAAGCAGAGTGGCTGCTCTCTACATGGTGGCAGGAAGGACTCTCCATGGGGAATGTGCTGTGTTGATCCCATGCCGGGTCCCTCCCTCTAAGAACACACACACACACACACACACACACACACACACACACACACACACGGGAGGTCGGTGCATGGGCCTCAGCACCTCACAAAGGGCGAGGGAGAGGCGACTGCTCGCAGTAAGCACATCACATCAGCGAGCTTCGCCTCGGAAACAACCAGAAGCTGTCATCATGTCAATGGTGCTCAGGGCATTCAGGCGACACATCGTAACTTATGTCCGGACACACTACCGACCCTCCTTGTTGGTTAGTGACTTACTTTCAAAGGCTGGTTTCTTCTCATGATAGCAAGGTCAATGTTTTTCCCACCGGACTGGACAACCTAATGTAGAACAAGTTGGTTTTAGAATGACTTTGGGAAATTCTGTGTTTTAATAAGCAATTAAAGGACAAAAACCTCTGCTTTCCTGAATATCCTTTACTAGAGACCCAGTGCACAAAATTCGTGCACTGATAGGGTTCCCAGCACTGCTGGCCAGGACCTCCCTCTCCTTTCTTCCCCTGGCCACCGGCTGCTGCTGCTGGCCGGGACCTCCCTCCTTCCCCTGGCTGGCCCCGCCCCCTGGTCGAACTCCCAGATGAACTCCTGGTTGAGGGGACAATTTGCATACTACACTTTCATTATATAGGATTAGATCACTTACTTCTAGCAAAGCTCTTATTGCTAGTTTGATAGCTTCACTGTCATTAGCTATGGCGTCTTCTGTGTAATTCTTTTCTAGAAATTCTCGGACAGTTTTAGCACTTCGGCCTATTGCATTTGCCTTGAAAAATAGAAGATAACGCTTAGTAATACTGCAATATGAAGGAATTTATGGTTACTAAGTGAAGTTTAAAGATTTACAGTTTACTCCAGTATTTCTTAGCGTAATTGCTAAATGAAAATTGTAGGTTTGAAACGTAGCAAACATTTCAACAGCTCACTGGTCACTCCCATGAGTAATCTGTAGCGCCAGCAGGAGTAACTTTCAGACACACCCATGCTTTCTACTGGCCAATGCGTCTGTCGCTCTAATATTCCCAAGTTCTTGACAGCAGGATAGATGGAAAGAGCTGAAACTCCGTGAGGTGTGGGGAGGAGAGAAGGTGAGACTTTGGTGCAAAAGGAAGAAAAACAAGGGAAAAAAGAACATCAACGTGAAGAAAGCTGTTTACATGAATGGCACTGCGCGTCATGTTCTGAGAATTTAGACTGATATACATTAATTATTACATTCATTATCTTCTTTGACTTTATAAGCAAGAAGGGCTTCTTCTGTTCCAGTCCCCAGTTTTCTATTTCTTCAGCATTTTTCATCAAATGAAGGAAAAGGCAAGCACACTTCCCTTGCTGTTTGGCCACAGGTAGTTTATGCAGGTTCCTGTCACTCACTCTCAATTCCAGACGAGTACTAGGACGGTGATGATGGAGATGACAGTAACTTACATGAACAGAGCACGTATGTGCCAGGCACTACGCTGTTCATTTCACATGAATTAACTCATCCAACCCAACCACCCCCCAAACAATTACACTGGTAACGTTACTAACCCAGTTCACGGGGGAGAAATGAAGGGCTGGGAAGGTTAACGTGAGTTTTCTTCACCTCAACACCACTGACATTGGGAACAGAGAATTCTTTGCTGGGGAAGAGGGGCTGTCCTGTGACTGCAGGCTGTCGAGCAGCTCTGTCCGCTGATGCAGCAGTGACAACCAAGTGTCCCTGAAGGCCACACACACCCCTATTTGTCACCGTCGGCTCACTAGTGAGCAATCATGCCTAACATCGTATCGGGGTAAAATGCAAAACAGCCCCGACTGTTCTGGGCGCTTCCATGTGCAGCCACCGTGTCAAGTTCTGCACAGAAAAGACAAACATCCAACTGCAGGAAGCGGTCTCCTGGAGCCGGAGAGAGCGGCGGCGGGAGGAGGGGACGAGGTGGAGGCCACAGGAAGCGCCGGTGGCGCCCGAGTGCTGTGCCATCACCTTCATCGGTCCCACGTTTCACTTGGTCACATGTCAGCACCTGTTTGAACTTGGTGAGTACACGCATGCACTGATATCATTTTTGTATTCTTAGGTATATGTCTGAAATGTTCCACTAAACACAATCATTTCTTTCACTTAAAACTGTCCATGCTCCTACCCGCCCACTTTCACCCTGAGTTCCATGCCACTGTACCTATTTAGAGTCTCTCCTTTTATGTCTTCCACTTTCCTCTACATCGTCAAAATCCCCCTCTTCACTATGTCATTTTCATAAATGTACACATATTCCAAAACCTTTCAGCTACTCTTCCTTCTCGTTCACACCTTATATCCGTTAAGCAAAGCCTCACACCATTCCTCATCTTGCAAAATAAAACCAACATCTAACCACTTTTCACCAAACTCAAATCACCTATTTTTTAAAATGTATTTTTTTATCGATTATTTTAGAGAGAGAAGAGGGAAAGGGAGAGAGAAAACATCAATGACAGAGAATCCCCTATTGGGGATCGAGCCTGAAACCCAGGCATGTGCCTGGGCTGGAATCGAACCCACGGCCTCTTGGTGCGTGGGCAACGCTCAGCCACCTATTCTTGTTATATCACCTGCACCCATCCTTGCTCTCTCCATACGGTTTTTTCATAGATGGTTTTCATAGTAGCCAGAAGGGTCCTTTAAAAAGAGTCACTTTAATGGTTCTGTTTTGCTAAAACTGGCTTCCGGTCCTGTTCAGAGTAAAATGCACGATTTTGCGAAGAAGTGTGAGGAGGGCCCTCTGCGATTCCCACTCCCTGTTGCGTAGACGCCTCTGCCAGCTCATGTCCTGCCTCTGCCCAGTCTTCTCCTCCCCCCTCGCCCACACACACACCAGGAAGCCGCTCTTCAGAGCATCTGCACTGGCGTCTGTCCCGTCTGGGACCCCAGCCCTGGCCACACTGTGCTCCCTTGCTTCTCTCAGGCTCTGCTCACATCCTGCTTCCCAGACCCCCTCTTCAGACCGCACCCCCCTCCCCTCCTCAGCCCCCATCTGACTCTGCTTCTCCAGAGCAGGCGGGATTTCTGAGGTCCTCACGGGTCAGGATTCCATGGGGTCTCGGAAGGCAGACAGCGCTCCCGACTAGAGGTCTGAGGGCTGCTGCCCTGCATTTCCAGCTGCACCGGTGATGCCCATGCTGCGCTCCTGACCCCTACCCGGGGACCCCCACCCGGGGAGGGACCCCCACCCGAGGACTCACACCCGGGGACCCACACACAGGGAGGGACCCCCACCCGGGGAGGGACCCCCACCCGAGGACCCACTCCCGGGGTCCCACACCCAGGGAGCCACACCCGGGGGACCCACTCCCGGGGACCCCCACCCGAGGACCCCCACCTGGGGACCCACACACAGGGAGGGACCCACATCCGGGGACCCCCACCCGGGGAGGGACCCCCACCCGGGGACCCCCACCCGGGTGGCACGTGGTACCACCACAGGCCAACATGCTGTCCATTTACTCGTCTCCCTGCCGCCTCCGGCATGTCCGTTCTCTGAGAGCAGACTGTCAGCTATGCTCAGTGTCCAGCATGTTCCGAGCTGAATGCTGCTGCTGACTGAACGGATCCTGTATAGTGTCAAGTCTGGAAAAACACCTTCCCTGACCCCACATTCCCCGGTAGCTGCTGTCCCATCTCCCTGCTCCCCTTTACAGCTCAACTTCTTAAAGGAGCCATCGTCACTTCCTCCTTCTTACTATTCTCTTTCCTCGATTTTCTAACTTGACCATTTCAAACCTATGAAAAGCTGAGAGAACAATGAACTACTATGCACCTTTTAACCTAGATTCATGTTATTAACATTTTGAGAGATTTGTCTTATCTCTCCATTTACTTACACACACATTGCATGCTTTTTTAATGTTGAAGATGTCATAACATTTTGCCCCTAAATACTTCTGTCAATTCCCTTAAAACAGGGATTTTTAAAATATAACACGTAAGTCCACTCCCCAAAGCTTGAGGCTGACACATACCATCGCCGAGTACATTTAATATCTCTGGTTGTGACTGTTCCCCATCGAGGGTCTAATCAAAGACCTTGGGTGTTG